ATTAATTCTCTAATTTCCCGCTTGCCACATTTTTGTGTGGCTGTAAGGTTAGAGATAAACTTTCTATCGCGGTAGTGATCGAGGGTCTTGAGAACGCCGTCCGAAAACGCGCGGAATCTTATGTCAACTCCATCGTTAGGCCATGCATATTTATTCTTCCTTCATGTTCAACAAGAAGTTCGAAGATGGCTTGCATTGCGGAGTCGTTCGACACGTTAGCGTAAACGGCGGTAACGTTGAACGACTCCATAATGTACGCGCTTATGGGACGTGCGTTGCGCAGACGGTCTAGAAACATTTGGGTGCTCGTGAGATGGACTGGTATGTGCTTAAGCAACTGGTTGAGGATAAGATTTATAAACGAAGCAATTCTATTCTAATTTAGCTTTAGTTGTCTACTCACTTTCAGTGGAATCCTATGTGAACCACTTATGACTGCAATTTTCTTCCAATAAACAACAGAAACACATATCACCCAAATATTGCAGTAAGATTTAAAGTTACTACTCACAATTGGTTCCCAATTATAAAAGCATAAAAGGATAAAGCTCTCGGCGTCGATCAAACCCTGAAGGATGCGCCATGTATTCGACTTCATTAAGCATCGTTAGAGGAGGAGTCCAACCAATGTGTCGAGCCAGTGCTGGTATCCTCCCAGAAAAGTGTCCTACAACCGATTACCGAAACCATGAGAGATGGAGGGCTTGGTGAGCCAGGAGGAATCGATCCCGTGGGTATTGCGTGTCGCCTCTACCCACTACCCTACATGCCTCCCTAGTTCTCAATTATTATACAAACTTATTAAACGAAAAACAGGAATGCAGAGCAAACAGAAATATATTTCGAATTGGAAAGACGTCCAACATTATCAAATAGCGTTTCTAATTGCTCTTCTTCTCCATGAACTTCCTTCTCATTGACTTCTCCAAGGCAGCGGCAAGCAACCAACCAACAACTGGACACAGCTGGAACAATACATTAGCAACCAAAAAACAACGAAAAATTAACTTGGAAAGCATTTAAAAACAGCTTCATGTTTCAAAAAGATGGTGCCACATATGTTTTACACTTGTACATTTGCGAACACCAACTTTAGTCTAGCAAAGAGTGAATCAATAACAGGATCCACCATAACCCCGGTATCAAACTAGTCGAGTGGTGGCAAATTTCCTTCTAACCCACATAGACGGGGACTGCTTGAGGTGGTGACGACCTGGGGCAGAGTTTGGCTAGGCTGACCTCGGGACTTCAAGTAACTATAATGGCTAAGCTAGCAAAACTCTGAAAAAATGGAAATTATGCTGGGGCCCGCACAATCAGTGAAGACGGGTCATTCAAGTATCCAAGTACCCAAGTTGCTGTTGTTCGATAGCTGACATTTCGCGATTTCGCCCTATTGCTTTCGTAATTTGCGAAACCTCGGTGGGCTTTCCATACGCTTTTCCCACCCTGTTCAGCTTCGACCATAACTGCTGCTGTTCTCTCTTTATGATCCTCTTTTATCGCATGTGTGCAGTCTTGCAAGTTCGAAAGTGAGTTTGCGGTTGCCCGTAGCTCATGCGATTCCAAGCTGGGTTATCACCTCGAGTATTTCTGGAGACACACGTCTTTTAATAACTTTCAAACCCTCAGCTTTCATAACACTAACGTGAAGATACTGACTGATCCATTCCCATATGTCGTAGATGTTATCAAGAACAGCATGTTTCCAACAGGCGACCAATGAGCTAAATCCATTCCGGTTAATGGTAATTTTAGGACTTCGATTTTCTGAATTTAGCGGCCTTTTCTCCTTTCTGCAAGGAATGGATTCCCGCATGAAAGAGTCGATGTTCTGATCCCGTGCAAAATTTTGAGACAATAGTGACATCGATAAGGCAAAACCTTCTATTTACTATGATGTAGTCTATCTCATTATGGTACCCTCCTTTGGAAGACTCACACGTCCAGCGCTGACGATAGGGCTTCTGGAATTGCGAGTTACCATGAATTATCTTGGACGCCATGATAAACTCGTACAGCCGCTCACCCTCTTCGCTCCGCTCCAATCTGTGGATCTCAATATAACATTATATAGACGTTCCTCTGAGCCCAAACTTAGCGTTAAAATATTCAATAACGACCTTAGAGAATGCATAGCCTTCTTTGTAGAACTTCCCTATGTCTATATAGAACACTTCGAGTTCGTCTTCTTGATAGCCTGATGTCGGTGCGTAAACGACGAGGATCGTAAAAGCCACTGATGATCATTTGATTGAATCAATGTTCATGGTAAAACTCGTGTTTACGAGAACACCGTCGACTCCTTTACTGTCGCATGTTCCGTTGAACAGTTTTTCTCCGGTCTCCGGTGTTAGAGACGACTTTGAATGGGTGGCATCTTTTCGTGTCAGCCAGTCCGATGACATCGTACCTTATCTTTGTCAAGTCTTTTATCGAGTACTCAGATGCAAGTGCACGTACGTCATAGGTGGACATTGTCACGTCATTCCTTTGCGATCTAAGCAGCTTAGAATGGCCTTGAGATTTTAGCAGCCTTTCCGCTATGTGTCCTACCTGAAGCTGTCGTATCGAGGACTCTTTTGAGGTCAGCGGAATGATACCCACTCACTTTACTGTGCTTAGCCTTTTACACCCACGTATAGCTTCATGAGCTCTGAACGTGAAGCTGGGTATATTCACAGGCATCTTGCCAGGCTTTTGGCCAAATTGACTAGTTGCATACAACCCACATAAACGAGAACACATCTACGCACTCATACATGAATACTCTCTCGTAAATACAGAAAGTATGTGCCAAATCGGGGCAGCAGAGACAGGGACTCTATTCACTGCATCAACTTGCGTCAAAGAGAAGTAAAGGCGTTGATGGTCCATGATTAACCCCTATCTGCTACCTGAGGACACACCACGTTGCCTCGCGACTAACAGACATGAAATTTCTCTATGAAGGAGGTCCGTGGCGAATTTGCTTTGTGCTTATGAAAACTCTGACCAGATGTGCTTCGATTTTGGGCGGAAGGTTAGTAGCTAACCAACCTTTAAGACCATCGGGAAACCCGCGAGCGCATAATTTGAGAAAATGACTATTGGATATTTAAATGAAAAAAGAGAAATTCTAAAAACCTTTCATGAGCACTGCGAAATGATTAGTCTATGAAGTGCACTAGGCTGTGTCACTCTATTGTTCATGGATTTATCAGAGCTGGGAAGGTCTTAGATATGAAACAGCGTTCTACAGCAAGATGCTCATCAACCATAAGGACCATTGAGGCTGTGAAGAAGTTCGACGTTTGCATCCCAAAGTCTAGCTCGAGGTAAACAAGTGCAATCATTGGAGTTCTGGGAAAAAAATTGTCGCGAGGTCGTACACCTCATTCCAAAACATGAGGCTCAGCAATATCCTACAGGGATCACTTTCACGGGATTCAAGAAAACGGGAATATTCTCCAACCGCCAAGCTACTGCGCGAAATTTAGTTCAATCGGGCATGAATTTTCTTGAATAAGGCCAGGCAAGTACTGAGTTAGTATTATAGAAATTGAACAGCATATCTTAGCAGTAATATCTTAGTATATCTTAGTAATATCTTAGAATATCTTAGCAGTAATAAAAAAAACACTTTGTCATACGATGACAAGAACAAGAAAAGTAGTAACTGACATACCCAGTAGACGAGAATAAACCATTGTGCATCAATTCCATCGCAACCGAACAACCGCGACGACGCTACTACAGGATTTAAGCCCGGAACACCGACATATACCAACGCTGAAAACGAAATGACATTCATAAGCAGAAAACTCGCTCTATTGGATGGATCTCTATTTACCAGTGTAAAAGATAAAGCATAAAGCGTTCGGCGTTGATCAATCCCTAAAGAATGCACCGCATTCGACTTCATCAAGTGCCGTTAGAGGTGAATAAATGCATAACCAACCTGTATGTGGCTTAAGGTCGCCTACCGATGTATTATGCCAGTATGTTTTAATTTTCACTTATTGCCCACTGCGTTTTAGTGGAAATGTATGATGCGAAATGTAATCACAATGATGTTGAGATATGAGCAAAACTGAGAACATCAAATGGGTTAAGAACCCATGATTACCCTTTGAGGGTACTCAAGCGCTCTCCAGCATACCGAAGCCCTTGCTTTGTCCTTCGCTCAACCACGATTTAACTCTATCAGACACCTGCGGTCCGGAGTTTGCAAATATCTCAGCAATCTCGTTGTCGTTACAGTGTTGCGTCTTACCATAGTGCAAGGCGGTTAAAGACGTCGAAAAAATCTAAAGTACATTGCGCCTTTCATATCGTGTTTATCTTTTGCTTTATGAAGTGTGGTATAAAGAGGGACCGAACCCGTGTAGCGGAGTGGTTAAGAAGCTCTATATTACACAAAGGGTCCCCACGGTTCGATCCCGCTCCCGAGCTCACAAGGCCCTTCCTGCCTTACGAGTCGTAAAACTAGCACCATGTTTCTCTGAGGAATAAAAACGCTGGCATGATATAACCACAATGGTGCTGAGTTATGAGCAAAACTTGTTGTCAGGTGAGCTTCGAACGTGTGATTACTCTTTCCAGGGGTTCACGTGTTACACACGGCACCATTGAGACCCTCGTTCTGCCTTCCTCTCATCCGAGCTACACTATGGAACGGATTTCGCTGAAAAAGTGGTGATTAGAAACTTGTTAGATGCGAGAATAAAACTGCTTCGCAAAATCGTAGGTTAAAAAGTTTTCCATAATATCATTAAGTTAACTCCTTTGTTATTAATGAATAAAAAACTGAACATAACCTCTAGCTGTGTAGACGCAAAGAAACACAATCAAACATTTTTCCTAAAATCCAGTAGCACTGATCGCCAAGGAAAAAGACAAAGTTTTTTATCAAAGACTAATAAAATGTACTACTACAACAGCTAAGAGTGATAAAATGCCAATAGAAAACCCTTTATATACATAGTGGAAACCTCATAGAAAGCGGCTCTAAAGAAGCCGAAATCCGTCGAAACGTCAGCTTAATCGTGTACAAAGAATAATAACACCTCGCGTTTGCTCAACAAAAATACGAAGAAAACCCTTTAATACCCTCCACTCGATATTTCACTTGTTAATTCTGTGATCACAATACCTCCAGGATGTCATATGTTTCTTCAAATACGGTTCAAACCAGATCGGTGTGACAATAGCCGACTGGATATCACGCTTCACTCCGATATATTTTATTTTGAAATGCAACGTACCGAACGACAAGAACGCGGCCACTACCGCCGACAGGGTGTAAGACTTGCCGCGAGCGGGCAAATTCGGTAGAATGAGACGAAGCAGGAAGCTACCAGCCAATTCAAAGGCGACCACTAACGGAAAGGTGATCTGCAATTGTCTAATGGGCCATCTAATGACGAAGACAACCACAAGCTTCATCATTTTTTTTCCGCAAGCTTTAAACGCTTTTTGGCTTAACAATATTTAAAATCACAGTAACATATAATATAGTCTTAAAACAAATGTATAACAATAATAGAAATAATTTAAGAAATAAATGTAAACAAGCAAAAACAAATAGTAAGTGAATAGGTACTTACTTACTTAGTACCTGAATGGTCCGTCCTCACTGATTGTGCGGGCTCCAGCATAATCTCCATTTTTTGGAGAATTGCTGGTTAAGCCATTGTGATTCCCTGGAATCCCGAGGTCAGCCCGGCCAAAGTCCGCTCCAAGTCTTCACCACCACGGGCAGTGGCCATCCTTGTGGATCAGAGGAAGATTTGCCACCATGCCACTTTGATACCATGACGGAATCCCCCACTGTACATAGTTCGACACACAGGAACACCTCCCAGCCACGATGAGGCGGTAAACCGTTGGGAGGAGTGAATAGATATAGAATTAGAAATTACGTAAGCAAGAAGCAAACCTTATAGTTGAGTGTGCAGGTGGAGTTGCTAAAGTTCTCCAGATGAGCGGTAGAGTACGAAAGGGAGTACCACCAGAGCGACCGAGCCAGTCGGAATGCGCTGAAACCGCCGATCGTCTCCGCCGCGAGCAGCAACAACAGTCGGGAAGCCCTGCAGCAACGCTACCCCATAGACGAAATCGCTATTGTTGCGCAAAATTAGTCGTAGACACCAAGCTGCAGTCGTTATTACAATGGTTAGCTTTTTATTCACCGCCTACTATTTTTTTCATGGTTGCACATTATGTGACAAACAACCACAATTATGCTGAAATATTTGCAGAACTCGGACCCCAAATCAGCTCCGAACATGCGATTGATTACCCATTCCATGGATCGTTAGTGTAAAAATGGCTCGGAGAAAGGCAGAGCAAGGACCCCGATGGTGCAGCGGTTAGAACGTGAGCTCCCGGAAAGGCTAATCTCTGGTTCAAATCTAGATTGGTATCCGAGTTTTGCAAATATCTCACCATCGTCGTGGATGTCGTCGCATCTTTGTATCAAAGAGTATCTAACAAAATGTTTCTTTTTATAAAAACTTCGATTGCGACAACACTCCCACGAAGATCTGCGAAATTTTGTGATTGCACTAGTTACGCTATGAAGTTCATCTGAACCTATAAGAGGATGGAGGCCATTATTTGGACACATGAAAAAAAACTTCGTAGTGAATTCTTTATTACATTAAGACATCAATGAAATTTTCTAGATTTTTCGTTAAATTTAATGTATCGAGTTTACATCACCGATATGTGGCCCGAATAGCGGAGCTAAGTCGATTTTAGCAATTGAATGAGCTACGTACGACTTTTGTTTTTTGTCCTTATGGTTTAAAAAAACCACCGACTTATTGAAAACGTTGCAGCCTACCACTCTTACATAAGGATGGTACAGTAGAAGCACAAAAGTGAGAAAAACTGAAGAAAAACAATGCGAAACTATTCACAGACCCAATGATGCCGTAACAGTAGGCTTCCACTGGTGCAAGAGGATTAACAAAAGCACCCCGATTCACGAATGAGCCAACAGTCAGCAACGATGTGACGGTGAAGAAGAACGCCATCGCTCCATAGTACTTTACCATTACACCTGGAATCATTCGGCCACGCCTTCTCATCAATTTGTTTGAAAATATAGTCATGTTTGAACCCAGGTCACAGAAATTAAAACAAAGCTCCGACTACTTCTAAAGTACCTGCTCTAAGGCTTAATCTTTCGATACAACAATGCATTAGATATCAGATGTTATGTACCGCTCGTAAATATGACCTAACACCTGTGTGTAAAGAACTGGGGACGAACATGGGAAAATTAGGGAGTTGAGCAGAGCTATCTAACCGGTCTCTGCTCGAATATCTAATATTTTTCTTCGCACTGTATGTAGTAGAACAGCTAGGGATTCATTTTGACGATAGCTCTCACCAGTATCACGAAACCCTCATCTCAGTTTCTGATTTCAGTAAGGTTAAGCAGAGCACGTACTGTTCTCGTAGACGCACGTGCACATTTGCGCAGTAGCTATCAGCTCAATAGTGAAGATATACAGTGGGGAAGATTTCTGCACCATTCTATCAAGTACCTGAAACCATCGTAAACCGATTTCCACAGATCACCCTCTTTAAAAAATTTATATCGACAGCATATGATAATTCCTAGGACTAGGTTAGGACTCCAAAATCATAAAAAATGCGACTGCCGTCCCAGAAGCGTTTTGCGAAAACAACAACGAAGCGGATAGTCGACTTACTGATTATCTAAACAGCTCCTTCCACTTCTGTTCAGCAAACACGAGGTGTTACTTTATTTCTTTATTTACGTACAAGCTGACGTCTCGGCGGATTTCACCTTCCTCAGAGCCTGGAAAGGTCAAGTTGACAGCAATCTATTCGGCCAAATACCTCCATAACCAAACAGAGAAAACGCTAAACCAAGATTTCAATCACGTTGAGCACAGTCTTTGCACACTCACCGCTTTCTATGAGCCTTCCACTAAATATGTCACGTGGAGACCAAACGCACAGAGTTCACACGGAATCGTATTGCCATCTCATCAAAATAACAGGCTTATATACTGCCCCATATCACGCGTGACAATGAGGCATTCCTCTCTGCGGTTCATTTTCGGATTCTTGGAATTAATCCAGAATGCCTCTAGAGTATTGCGCGCTCGTGTTCTCGATTCCTGCGCGACGATCGTAACCCCTACTTCAAAATCTTCTCCGTTAGGTCTCTGCGCCCTATGCGTGCCTAGTGGAGTATTTTCTTTACGTTTGCCGACTAGGTGTCCTCTTTATACGGACGCAGAGTAGTCTACCAGTTTCGCCAACGTATTCGTCCCCGTATGCTTTAGAAGAAATCAGATAAAGTGTACCCGAGCTCGTGCAGTCACCGTCTCTACCATTAAGGCAAATTATGCAATTTTGCGTTGCACATAGACAGCCATATAGGCGGTTACGAACTAGCTGGTGCCTAAGAGTACTTGGTGGCATTTCAGCTACGTTCACCGAATTCTCTAGACGGGCCCTTCTTAAACAGCGTTTTATAGCTGCACTTACTTCTAGTACAGGTACAGTCTAGGTACAGTCTATCTGATCTCTTGTAAAGCGTGCGGGGACGAATGCACGAAGCGGGTAGACCACTCTGCATCCGTATAAAAGAACACCTAGTCGGCAAACGTAGACCAAAACTCTTCTAGGAACGCATAGGACGCAAGGACATAACGTAGAAGATTTTGCAGTAAGGGCTACGATCTTCGCGCAAGAAACGAGAATACAGGCGCGCAAAACTATCGTTCTGGATTAATTCCAGAAATCCAAAAATGAACCGCAGGGAAGAATGCCTCATTATCACGCGTGATATTGGACAGTACATAAACGTGTTACTCTGATGGGAGGGGCACATTACGCTTTCATGTGAATTCCATGCGTTCGTCTTCACACGGCATACTCAGTGGAAGATTCATAGAAAGCGGTGAGTGTGCAGAGCTGTGTTAAGTGTAATTGAAATCCTGGTTTACCGTTTTCTCTGTTTGGTTACGGAGGTGTTTAGCCGAATAGATTGCTGTCAACTTGACCTTTCCAGGCTCTGAGGAAGGCGAAATCCGCCGAAACGTCAGCTTGTGCGTAAATAAAGAAATAAAGTAACACCTCGTGTTTGCTGAACAGAATTAGAAAGAATTATTCAATCAATGCCGAGGTTAATAGAAAGTCAGACGTGGGAGTACCTAAAGAGCCTCTCAAAAGCCAGCGCCTTCCTCGAATTTCGTTCATTCTAGCTTTTGTAAACTCATCTTTCATTAATTTAAAGGAGTTCTATGCTTGAAAAATAAACATACTATTGGGAATAAATGCCTAATGCTAAGTAATTACAAATTAAAATCAATTTCCCCAAAGCACTCTGCAACGAAGACTTGAGTGAGCTGCGTTCACCTGATGATTTGGTTTCTGAGTTTGTCCTTATTCACAATTCCCGCCGAGTTGTATGTAAATTTCTAGTCGGACAGCTCAGCCTTCTACTTCAATGAATTAGCCGAGTAGGGGAATCCATATGTCTTCACTGCGATATGATTTTGTCCTTGTGATTCCGAGCTATTTTGCCTTATCGCTAAGACTTTCAACGTAAACGACAAAAAAAACCTTACTTCATCAGCTTATGCCTGACATCGTTTTCGGTTTGCTGAAGAAATCGAGGCCCTCTTAAGCATTAGTGACTCCGATAAAAGGTAATTTTCTGCGATATCAATGAAATTAAAAGATATGTTGTTACAAAACCAACCTTTCTTGTAATTTCGGCCAAAAGAAATACTGTAATGTAGAAAGCCACTGCAGAGATTAGAGGGTAGTAGAAAGAAACATCAGAAGCGATCATCCTACAAGATGTTTCAATTATCCTTGTCAGCAAGCTTACCGGAAAACTATCAGATTAAGCGACGACAAGTCAGAGAATTACTGGAATTCTGAACGTCAGCATTATGCGACATGATTTGACACTATATGAGATGAGATCACGACTCGTCGATGACACTTAAATGATAAAGAGGACGTTCTGCTCCGAACTTCTCCCATCCCACGACTATTGAACACCAACACTACGTTGCAGAAATAAAACCTGCCTTGAATCCTTTCTATCAAATAAAATTTGAGTTGCGATCTCTGTCGTGCAAACTAAGGAGTCTTTACAACTACAACCACGGTCTTACTTGTTAAACGTTTCTCATGAAAATTATTTCATTGAGACTGTCAAAAGTTTTGAAGCACAATCCGTCCACTAAACGAAATTTCAAAGAGATTTCTAAAGCATGTAGATAAAAATGGTAACTAAAGGTGTACGCGTTTCGGACTTATCACCCACTTCTTTACCGAACTTTTGTTGACCACGAAAAATTTTGACATCAAGTCTTAAAAACCGGCTTTCGTTAAATCTCGCTAACAGTAATCATTATTGCGTCGTTTTCTTCTTCAGCAATCGCGAGGTTTTTAAACAGCATACATTTACTTCCATAAAAACACAATACAATACAACGCTAGCTGACGTTTCGGCAGTATCGCCTTTTTCAGAGCCTGGAAGGGTATACTGATATACAATCTACTAGGCCAAACGCTTCAATAACACTTACACAAAGACGAAAGACTCTTTGGTAATTACATGATCAACAGTTTCTCGAAAAACTCACCGCTTTTTTTTCGTAACTTTCATTGAGGAAGATTAGAACAGCTGATTATAGTCGCATATGGTTGATGACTGCTTCATCCCACATCAGAAATTGATGCGAACATACAGGGTCAGGTCGCGTATGACCTCTGGACATTCATCCTTGCTATTCATTGTAGGTTTTTTGGCATTTATCCAAAAAGCGGTGAGTTTCTCGAGAAGCTGAGAAGTCGATCCAAGTAATCATCAATTTTCCAAATTACTGAGATGACACGAAGTTGGTATAAAAACTTGTATTCAGCTAACGTTTCGGCACTTTCGCGTTCTTTAAAGCGTCACTGATCTGTGTTGATAGTCCACAGATGGTCGTTGCCGCGATGTGGATGTTCGTTGTCGCGTCGAGTTGCATTCAGTAGATGGAGCACTGCTCGAATGGGCAACTTGACTCAGCGGTACTCTTTTATACAGGACGGGTATCAAGCGATTCTCGCCATCAGATATGATCTGATTTTTAGCAGGAAATGCGTCCTGCAACAGTCATTTACTACATCATTTGCAGGCACACTGGATGGCGGGAATAGAGCAACATCCAAGATGATGCTGAGATATTTGCAAAATGACTATATGACGGTGATTGTGATGGCGCGGATCAATAGAACTAACTGAGAGACAGACGCAACGAAGGACCCGCATGGTGTGGTGGTGAACGCGTTACTCCCTAGAAAGGACAACAGCGCGTTCGTTCACCACCGCAGACACCCGCAGTCCGGAGTTTTGCAAATATCTCAGCATCGTCTTAGTTGTATTTCGCATGATACCCTGCCGTTAAAAAATAAACTAGGCAGCAAATAAAAAGGTTAAGAGCAACATCCGTTCTGTATAAAGGGCACCATCGAGTGAGATTTCTATTCCAGAGGTAACCCCTTCACTGTATTCGATTCGATGCGATTACGAACAGCCACATTGCGGCAACGACCAGCTGTGGACCATCGACTCGGACCAGCGCAGCTATGAAGAAAGTGAAGGCGCCGAAACGTTAGCCGAACAAAAGTTTTTATACCATTCTTGTGTGCCGCGTGTAGTGCAGTGGTTAGAGGGGTACGGCAATACACGAGGGACTGAATCCACCCCCCACCCCATCCACGCCATCTAAACGTCTATTTGTTGATAAAACATTTGTCGCAGAGTACTCAATCTTTGGTTTATAACAACATTAAGCTGGTTAAAGCGATCCACTTGAAGCAGGAAAATCCTACAGTCTTTCTTCACGGGTTCGAATTTAGATATACTGCCGTGCGCAACTCGAAATTCTATCGAATAATGCGGCCAAAAAATGCTTCTATATGCACAATGTCTACGGTTTCGAAGCGGATATACGAGTCTCAATGACGAAGAAATTCAAGGGGCTCCTAAGAAAGTCATTTGCGCCTCTGACGACGACCAGCTGGA